GAAAGAAAGAAAGAAAGAAAGGAAAGAAAGAAAGAAAGAAAGAAAGAAAGAAAGAAAGAAAGAAAGAAAGAAAGAAAGAAAGAAAGAAAGAAAGGAAGGAAGGAAGGAAGGAAGGAAGGAAGGAAGGAAGGAAGGAAGGAAGGAAGGAAGGAAGAAAAATAGTATTACACATACAGGAAGATCATTGGAAAGGCGTCCTGAGTCATGGGTCACCCTTCTCTTGTCGAGGCTGCGCCATAACTCCCTGGACCATGGTGCAATGGCGCATTAGTCCATGGCCTGGCCTAGCCAGGTGAACCTTTGAGCAGGCCTTGAGCCCAGTTACAGTTCATGTCTGGCAGTGGGAACCTGCGTGTTGGGAGTGGTGTCTGACCTGTCCAAGAGATGGCGGGAGAGCTCACAGGTGCTAGGGCCAAAGGCTGCTAGGGCCAGGAGCTGCTAGGTGGGCAGCATGAGTCAGCAGCAGCTGGCTAGAAAGTTGACCAGCCTGCTGGTGGACCCAGCAGAGGAGATGAGAGGGTGTGCTGCCAGTGTTGATACCCCATCAATGTGGAGGGCCTATTGCCATCAAAAGTAAGGATCAATTTCTTTTAAAAAGGGTATTAATTTAGAACATAATGTACAGTATGTGTCCATGAATAAAGCTCTAAAATTGAAGAGACCTCATTTTGATATATCACTGGTTTATTTAACTCTGAAATGTATGGACCTTGTCAGAAATGTTCCTGGGAGTATTTTTGACATAAATAAGGTTGCAATAAAACAAAGAGTATGAAAACGAAGAGGTATGACATCATCAATGTCTTAAGTAGAATTGACCTGGTTTTAAAAAAATCTAAGAATCATATTTGATGGGTAGGGTCTGATCTCAGCAATTTTGGAACAGTGACCCAACAGATAAAAGCTGCCAGAGGAACTTTCTGACTTATCAGCAATGGAAGATGCTCTGGATGAGTTAAAAACTGTGCTCCACAGCTGTTTAACAGATGACAAAGAAAATAAAAGACTAGCATTTATGACATATCAAGATATTCATAACATTAAAGCCTTCTAGGAACAGATTGTTATTGCAGTTAAAGTTCCAGCAGAAACCAGATTGGATGTCCCAGTTCCCAGAGAACACTCTATCAAAGTAAGTTTATGGAACACCAAAAGGTCCATTAATGCCTATTTGTGTGAAGTAGGCTTGGATTGCTCAAGTAATAAGGTGTGTGAAGGTGTAGGAACCTCTTCGTCTGAAAGCAAACACCCACAACATCCTGATAAAAAAGAAAATCCTTGCTCTGGCCAGTTTTGCTCAGTGGTTAGAACGTTGGCACACACCAAACTGTAGTGGGTTAGATTCCTGGTCAAGGGCACATACCTGGGTAGGGGCACATGCAGGAGGCAGTCAATTAAGTCTCTCTCACATCAATGTTTCTCTCTCTCCCTCCTTCCCTCCTTTCCACTCTTTCTTTAAAAATAAATGGAAAAAAATATCCTCTGGTAAGGATTAACAAAAAGAAAAAAGAAGATCCTCCACTGCAAAATGAAGAATTGCTTGAAGTGAGCAACTGATAGGATTTGAGAATTCGTGTAATCAGTGTTTTTGGAACATCCCTATCAATGACCTATGCATCAAGTTTGATTCTCAAAGCAATAAATGACCAGTGAAGTTCTGTCATTCTCAGTAGCAGCATTAAGGCCAGTAGTTTTTTGAGCAGTTCACTACTTAGATTACTGGAGAGTTATGGTTTCCACATTCGAAAACAATTCTTTTTATAATTATTCATTGCTTTTTGTCAGTGAAATAGACATCCTGCCTACTGAAATAACTTTATCACAAAGGATACCATTAAAACAGATGGTCAGACCTGAAATGGGCAGTTCTCCATAGACTCTGCCCCTTCCTTCAAGGATCATGTGTCTTTATCACAAGAGAAATTGCCTTAACACTGTTCATGTCTGTAATTAGCTATTGTACATTGGATGGATGTACACATGAATCTAAATGTGATTTCTTTGTATATATCTGCATAACATTTAGATTACTAATAAAATATGTCTAAGTGAAATTTTCATCATTGTATAGTCCAAACAATGTATATATGGAAAGTAACAAATTCTCTAATTTCTGTGGTATCTATAACTTATTAGATTTCTCAGAATGAGGGTTAGAAGAGAGTTTTTTCAAACTTCTACACATAGAAGTATCATATATATGCTATACAATTAAAGTTAATAGACTCAAAGAAATTCAGTATGATCAGTATGATTCCTAATGCTAGACTTGAATTTCAAGCTACTTAGAGTTATTGTATTTCAGCAGACCAGTGGCATGATGTAAGCCTTTAAGGACAAGTGTAGAAATGCCATCAAGTAGTGGCTTGATTGCAATACATGAATTCAATTATGGTGAAAGTTGGAAACAATTTTAACCCTTTTGCCAGCAGATTTTATAATATATTTCTGTATGTAGCCTTACTCTTTAATCAAAGGATTTTATTTACAATGAGCTAGTTGTACCCTGCCCTCTCTCCAACTCTAGGCCCCCATTTCCAAGTACCTAGCTAATTCTATCTCACTGGGTAAGTCATTTACCACGCTGTGCTTCAGTTTACTCAATATTTTAGCATTAGACAGTGAACTCCTTGAGGGACTTTGTCTTAATTATTGTTATGCCCAGCACCTTGTCCCATACCTGGCACATAAAAAGTGTTCAGTAAGTGTTTGAACAAACAAAAAACAAATAGTGGCTATCATTGTTATAGTTGTTATTGTATTTATAGTATAGTTTGTTTTTAAAAAATCTGAAAAGATACAAACATCAAGTCTAATAGTGCTCATGTTAAAATTAAGGAAGCTAAGGTTCAGAGACCCTTAACTTGGCCAAAGTCTCAGAATGAAGTAAATGCAGAACCAGGTCTGTCTCTGGACTTCCTGACTTCCCCTTCAGTGCTCTTCTTGCTCAACAGGGCCACTGAGCCCACTGCAGGACTGGAAGTCTTCACCAGAGAAATGCTGTACAGGCTTCCCTGTGTATTTCTTTCTCTTTAGATCCGGGATGTTCTAATAAGAGGCAAACAAGCAGTTTAAAATATACAAATCCACCAGGCCAGGGGTAAACTGACATCAGTCGAATAATACATGGGCTTTCAGATCCTCATCATGTAGAGGGAAAAGTGTGTGTGTGTGTGTGTGTGTGTGTATGTAGATGTATGGTGGTAGTGGTGGTAGGGTATTGGTTGGAAAATACAAAGTTCGGGGTTCCCTGAGTGAAGACCCAAGAGAAAAGAATGACTAGAAGTTCCAGAGAGGTGGGCTGAATGAAGTAACCAAAACACAAGGGGCAACCAAACCAGGAGGATTGAATCTGGGAAGCAGAGGGTTTTGACAGAATTCCATGTGATAATGGCAAGCCCTAAGATACTGGAGTCTCCTCTTAGCTCTTGCAGGACCCCCAGTCATGTGTATGTAATCATCCTTTGGTAAGCATATAGAGGAGATGATGTTTCTCCGTGCAGTCTCACTCCACCTTGTTGCAAAGCTCACTCCTCCTCCAATCAAAGCTTCCCTTACCCTTCTAATTAAAAAGAAAGATAAGATTATATGTTACTTAGAAGCCAGTATGAATTTGAAATGCGTTTCTCCTTTTGGATGTGTTTTATTTTCAAAGCTTAGTAGACTGTGGGCAGTGCCAAACCTAGACATAGACTGCTGGTGGACTTACAATCATTCTTGGGCCTGTGAAGAGAAGCAATTAAGCTTCCTGGGAGGCTTAATGTCATTCTCTCACAGGTCAGGAATTTGTATCAAATGAAAGTCATTGAAAAATTCAAACTAGTAGACTTAACCTTCCCTTAAAAATAAATAAAAGATCCTTTATGAGCACTGATGGGAACCCTTCCCACCAAAGAGCTGGAGCTGTGGGAGAAAGTGGTTCATAAAGGTTATTATGCTAAGTGAAAAAATTCAGTCAGAGAACGACAAATACTGTATGATTTCACTTACATGCAGAATCTAAAGAACAAAGTAAAAAAAAGTAGAAACAGACTCACAGATACAGAGGATAACTAATGGTTGCCAGAAGAGAGGAGGTTGAGGGACTGAGTGAAAAAGGGATTAAGAAGTATAAATTGGTAGCTACAAAACAGTCACAGAAATGAAAGATATACCATAGGGAATATAGTCAATAATATTGTAACAACGATGTATGGTGCCAAGTGGGTACTGGGAATATCAGAGGAATGTTTTGTAAAGTATATGATTGTTTAACCATTATTCTCTACACCTGAAACTAATACAAAATAATATTGAGTTGAATGTAAACTATAATTGAAAATATTTTTTAAAAAGCTTTTCCAATATGAGATAAGGGGGTATATTCCCTCATGACAGCCTTATCCAGCTGAGCAAGCAAGAGTTAACTGTATGATGCTGAATATTACACAAGCCAGCAAAGTTGATCTCTTCTCCCTAGAACCACCAGAAAGGGAAATATCCCCATATTGGAGGGAGTAGACTCATCCCAAAGGTCACCCACACCTCTAAGGCATGTGAAGGAAACCCCAAATAAACACATCCTGGGAGATCGAAGACCAGAGAGCCCTATTGGCTCCATAGAAAGTCAAGTCAATACCCTAGCAGGGGGAGAAATTGCTTCGCTCACCATTAAATCTTCAACCCCAGGCAAGGGAGGAAGGGGGATACTCATGTGACATGTACTGAAATAGGGAAGGAAGGGAAATATGAGATGGGACAGGGAGTCCAAGTGAGAGATATAGAGAAGGAAGGGACGTGAGAAAGCACAGGCACTGGCAGCCATCAGGAGCTTGAACCTCTTTGACAGCAAGAGGCTAGAAGAAAAGACAGACGTGGCTCTGGCTGTGATGGGACTCTTACTGGGCCTGCTGCTCCTGGGGCACCTAATGGTGGTCACTTATGGTAAGGCAGAAAATGGTGGCCTGGATGCCACTGCTGGTACAGGCAAAAGGCTGGAGAGTGAGGGGTGGGATTGAATGCCTACTGAGGAAAGCCTACTTCTGCTGAGCGAGTTTCTCAGCCAGTGCTCCAGACTCTCTCAGCTTTGGTCAGAAGAGAGGGAGGTAGTTCAAAGCTGGTGAAGAAACCAGGAGGTAAGTTTTCATAGAAATTGAAAAGTATCTTCTCTTGGAAAGTATCCAGATAATTTTGCAGTACTTGTTTTTATCTCTGAGATATTCAGAAGGTGCTCAATGCTACCCAAATCCCTCCACCATCTACTGTCTTTCAACTGAAATTCTACCATTATAGTCACAGAAAGTAAAAGTATACCATAGGGAATAGAATCAATAATATTGTATTAACAATGATCTCTATTAATACACTTATCTCCCAAAGAAGACATGTTGAAGAGCTAGATAGGACCTTAAAAGTAACCTCAATCTACCCTTCACTGTTATCTGTTCACATACTTCCAGTGACTGCTAGTTCACTACTTTTCCAGGTCATCTAGTTTATTCAGGGACATCTCCAACTGTTACAAAAATTCTTCCTCATATTGAACTAAATCCACTTCCCTGTTACTTCTTTCCAAAGGTCCCAACTCTGTTTCTTGGAGACATACAGATTATATCTGCTCCCTCTATACTGTGACAGCCCTTTACATTTCTAAGAATAGATCTCATGTCCCCTTGACTCATTTCTTCTTCAAGCAAAACAGCCCTAGATCCTTCAACTTGTCTTCACAGAACTTAGTTTCTTACCACCTTCTGGGGTAACTCACTTCCCTGTGGACATGACCAAGTTTTTTCTGGGGTAATTGGGAGACTAATGCTGGACACATATTCCAAAAGAGATCTGATTATCCCATAGTAGCATTATTTCCTTCAGTCTTCTTCCATCTTTATTTATAGCCCTGAGAACTGAGATAGCCTTTAAAGAAACTAAGACTGAGTAATAGCTAAATGCAACCCATGATAGGTTAAAGGATTTCTTGCTGCATCTCTGCTTGTTTCATATTCTTAAAGGGAGAGGCTGGATGGTGTTAACTTGATGTCCTTTGTATGGTCAGAAAGAATCCAGCTTTCCATAGCTGACTCAGTTTAGATTATCTTATCCTGGGGCCCTGGGGCCCATAAAATTCTGTAACTTCAAGCTAGAATTAAGTCATCTGAAAGGGAAAAACATTGGTGGCAGAATTAATGCTCCTAAAATAGTATTCTTCCTAGAACTACAATATTTTCATTTTCTAACACATTTTAGAGTGCACTTGCCTACCTTCAAATGTGTTGGTTTGAGGTGGGACTAATACAGGCAGAGTTGGGGTTCATGGGAACATTTTGTAAATGTTAAATTTAAATCATGTGTGGGCATGCATGTGAGAGCTCATATGTTTATTGTGTCATCCTCAGACTCTAAGGTCCTCCAGACTGGGGAGCAGGGCTTTCATTTGAGTAGAGGGTCTTACACTATAGACCTGAGATTCAGGACATACTGAATGGCCAATCATGCCTTCTTCTCCCTGGAATTTAGTGTCCCCAGCTTATTTGTATAGTGAGGAGATCGGCTTGGCTGGCCTCAAAGGGCCCTGCCAACTGGACAGCTGTTTAGGGCTGTGGCTTCATCTCTAAAAAGCCTCTAGGGATTTGAATCAGCTGTTAAGTCTAAGACACAGGTTGAAATAATCATAATAAAAATAAATCATAATATTTGCATTTTATAAACATTATAAAATTTTATAAACATATGTTATTTAAGTTAATACTCTATCTAGGAGGCACCCCAAAAGAGGAAAAGTTATAAGACAGAGGAATATGGGGTCATGGGGAGATATTACCTTCTGTGTAATAGTGAGAGGAAAAAAATTCAAAATGGGACATAGAGTTCTGTAAAGGGGACCAGTCAGAAAACTAGGTCTTTCCTTTCTTTAGGACCATTATACAGGTCCTAGACTTTTGCTTTCATAAGTCCAGGTCCTAGACTAGAATGAACCTCAGTACTGTTCCTTCTTTCTCAAGTTAAACCCATTTCCAGCAAAGCTCCTTGAGTCAAAGCTAAGCCCTGGTCTTTCTCTTGATGGTGTGTGTGTGTGTGTGTGTGTGTGTGTGTGATATTTGAATAAAATTAAATTTTTTCCTGGGGGAAAAGAGCAAGGGTTTAAAGTTCTAGGAAAGGGAGGAGATTAAAGATGGTGGTGGACTGAGTGGAAGTTACACTGGCACCCTCCTAGGACCAAATGGGAATTACAACTAAAATATAGAAAAACCATCCTGATTAATCAGCTGCAACTAAAGATGAGCTGGAAAGCACCCTTATAACCAAGGAGGAAAAGTAGAGACTGCATAGAGACTGGTAGGAAGCACAGGGATGAGAGAGGGCTGGCTGGACTCCCACATGCAACAGCTGAAGGTCCAGAGGGATATCTCCACTGTGGGGGGTTCCCACTGAGGACTCTGAGGCCTAAACCACAGGTTGGGCTTCCTAGCCAAGAGCACTAAAACTGAGAATGGTGCCCACATAACATCTGGCTGTGAAAAACAGCAGGTTTCTGTCTTCAAGGGAGAAACAGCTGGAAATACAGACACTCTCTTAAAGAATCACACACAAATTTTCATGTGTAGCCACTCACCTTGGGCCCCAGCAGAGGGAGGGTAGAGTGGACTGTAGCTGTGTGAGGAGAATCTAGGGTTGCAGGCTCTGGGGCTAGAGCTCAGAAGACAACCTTCTGGATTCCTGTGCTGAGTCATTCCCCCATACTGCAAAGGACATCTTTCTCAGGCAGACATTTACCTTCCAAGCAGCTTTTACCTGCTGGGGAAGCAATGGTCCTACCCCGATGGGAAACCCCTCACCTTACCCTGTAGAGTTTCTACAGCCTGAGGATCACTAAGAGAATCAGATTAATCAGCCTGTCAGAGTGCTTGACACTTTACCTGGCCTGCTTCTGGACCCAGGCCTTGGAAAAACAAATTTTGGTGTGCATCTTGGTAATGTCCAAAAGCACCCAGCCCCAAGAGAGGGGACCTCAAGCTGTGGGTTGTTAATAGGTCTAAAGAGGGTACTCAAAGAGAGTAACAAACAGTGTCTGACATTGGCCTGCACCAGAGACCTTCCAAAAAGACTGAGATTCCTAGCAGTCTTACTTAATACATAGAAACAAACCCAAATAGGCAGCCAAAATAGGGAGACCAAAAAACAAGCCCCAGATGAAAGAACAAGAGAAGCCTTCAGAAAAAGAGCTAACTGAGATGGAGATAAGCAATCAAATATAGAGTTCAGAATACTGATTGTAAGGATGCTCAACAGTATGGAAAGAGATATGGAAACTCTGAAGGAAATTAAAAATGGCATAACAGAAATAAAGAATACATTGAAAGGAATAAACAGGAGATAAGAGGAAGCTGAGGATCAGATCAGCAAATTAGCTGACAGGGTAGAAAAAATCAATCAGAGAATCAAAAAATAAAAAACAATTTAAAAACAGGAGGACAGTCTAAGGGAGCTGTGGACAACATGAAATGTAATATTCGCATCATAGGAGGGCCAGAGGAGGTCAAAAGTAAGCAAGGGTTAGAGAACCTGTTTGAAGAAATAAAGGCAGGAAACTTCCCAAACATGGTCAAGGAAAAAGTCACACAATTTCAGGAGGCAAAGAGAGTCCCAAGCAAGAAGAACCCAAAGCGGCCCACACCCAGGTACATCATAATTAAAATGCCAAAAATTCAAGTCAAAGAGAGAATCTTAAAGGCAACAAGGGAAAAGCAATCTGTTACCTACAAAGGAGGTCCCATAAGGCTGTCAGCTAACTTCTCATCAGAAACTCTACAGCCAGAAAGGAATAACATGAGGTATTCAAGGTAATGAAAAACAAGGATCTGAAACCAAGACTACTGTATCCAGCCAGGCTATCATTCAAAATAGATGGTGAAATAAACAGCTTCTCAGATAAAAAAAAAAAAAAAAAAAGGCTAAAGAAGTCTATCACCACCAAACCAGCATTGCAGAAAATGTTAAAGGGACTGTTGCAATAATAAAAAGAGAGAGAAAAACATAGGTATAAAGAATTAAAATGGCAATAAATAAGGTCCTATGAATAATAACCTTAAAGACTTTAAAGGATAGATCAACAGCGATACAGTCAGAGTTGTGGACTTTAACACCCTTCTGACTTCACTGGATAGGTCTTCCAGACAGAAAGTCAACACAGAAATAGTGACTCTAAAGGGCACACTAGATCGGATGCATTTAGTTGGTATTTATAGAACATTTCACCCCAGAGCTGCATAATATACATTCTTCTCAAGTGCACATGGGTCATGCTCAAAGATAGACCAACTATTAGCACACAAAACAAGTCTCTACAAGTTCAAGAGGACTGAAATCATGTCAAGCATCTCAGATCAGAATGACATGAAATTAGAAGTCAACTACAGTAAAAAAGATATTCAAACACATGGCAACTAAATAGCATGTTATTAAACAAAGAATGAGTTACCAATAAGATCAAGAAATAAATAAAAAACTTCCTAGAAACAAATGAAAATGAACACACAACAACCCAAAAATCTATGGAACACAGTGAAAGCAGTCATAAGAGGGAAGTTCATAGCACTACAGGCCTACCTCAAAAAGTAAGAAAAATTTTTAGTAAACTAGCTAACCTTACAACTTAAAGAATTAGAAAGCTCCCCTGTGAAGCCATCTGGGCCAGGGCTTTTGTTTGCTGCGAGTTTTTTTGTTTTTTTTAATTATTATTACTGCTTTGATTTCATTGTTATTAGCCTATTCAGGTTTTCTGATTCTTCCTGATTCAGTTTTACATGATCTCACTCATATGTGAAATCTAATAAACAAAATAGACTGAGGAACAAAATAGACCCAGAGACATAGAAGCATGGAACAGACTGGTGAATCTCAGTGAGAAGACGGGGGTGGAGGAGGGGGCGGGGAGAGATTAATAAAAGAACTTATATGCATATATGCATAACCCATGGACACAGACAGTGTGGTGAAGGCCTGGGGGCTGGGGCAGGTCCTGGGTAGAGGGCTCAATACTGAAAAAAAGGGAGGATATCTGTAATCCTTTCAACAATAAAGATAAATTTTAAAAATAAAATTCTAGGAAAGGTTTTTTTAGAAAGTAGCCAGCAGATGGGAGAATTCTTTTCCAGGCAGTCAGAGGATACTATTCAGCCTTAGGATAGCATCCCTTTAAACCGTCTCAAGTAGGCCCAGGTAATGGCCTACTGAAGCCAGAAACCCCTTACTAAGTTTAGTAAGTCAAGAAAGTAAGAAAGCAGTATAGCTTCTGAAAGCTTTTATTCTAAGTCTCCAGGCCCAGCTGTGCTCCTGCTATCTGTGTAACTTTGTATAAGCATCTTCCTCTCTCTGGGCCTCAGCCTTACCCATATGTACCATGAGGGAATGCCATTAAGTGGTTTCTAAAAGCCCTTAGACCTATGCAATTTGAGAACTCTCCAAAATACTATCTTGCCTGGTCCCTCAAGACCTGTTGCACCAAATACCTAATCATTTGATGGTTTTCATGGGTCCATAGTGGGCAGAGCATCCCCTCAGGTTTGGAGGCTTTCCTGAAAAAAAATTTTCCCTACCCAATCTTCCAGGAAAGTCAGGGGTATTGCTTAATTTGGCCAACATTTCACCTTGACTGCTATGCCAGCCCTGTTTTTAGAGGTAAAGGCTACCTTATGCTCTTTGGCTTCCCTACAACCCAGGGATGGCCTATTACCTGCCCATAACATGCTTTGTTCCATCAGGCTGGGAAGGGTAATTTTCTTACCTGCTTATGTCTTAACTTCTCCTTCGGGTCATTATTAAATCTGACTGTGATCCAATCTAATTAATCTATCCACCTTGGGGAAAACATAGTGAAGGCTTCTATAGGATAAAAGATACAAGATAAATATGAGAAGTTTCTCTTGAGGCATGGGACTCGCATTTATCGAACACCTACTGAATGCCAACCACTATGCTAGGTGCTTTCATACCTATGAGCTCATTTTATCTTCACTCATGATCTCACTCATATGTAGAATCTAAAGTTTATTATCATCTCCATTTTATTGATAAAGCTCAGACAGGTCTAGCAATTTACTCAAGGTCACACAGAGAGATACATGGTAGAACAGACCTTGGATTTATATTGGTGTTATTATTCTTACTCATCATGCAGTCTTTCACTAAGCTCCTGATTTCACTAGGTGCTCTTACTCAATGTGTGTTTAGGTTATCTGAGTACCACAGGGATTGTTGGAAGGTATAAGTCAATGCTATTTAGGTTACCTTCACTTTGGAGATCAAAATACATAAGGAGTAGTATAATGTTACCTTTCTTGTGATGCCCTGTGCCTACCATACACTCTCTCTTTATGCAGTTAATGAACAAGTAGGAAGAAGAGGCGAAAAGAACACAAAAAAGAAGGAAGATGAAGAGAAAGATGAAAGGATGAGTGGAAGAAGAGAGGGGAAGAAACAAAGTAAAAAGGGAATAAAACATGCAACCCTATTCTGAGATGGAAGAGTTATGTTTGATCTAATACTAAAAGTGACTTCCAGGATTGGAAAATTAGGACTGGCTGTCCATGTTCTTGACAGACCAGAGTGAGCTATGTGAGAATCCCGGACTAGTTCCCAGAGACAGTAATGTGAGCATGTGAGCCAGGCCCTGCAGTTTCCCCAAGGTTAGAGGGAAGACATACATCCATATAGGCAAAGACATTTTTAGGTGCTCCAGATGTCCTCACAGCAGAATGCTGCTTTGTTCCACAGGAAGGGAGTGTGAGAATGTTTTTAAGAAAAGGGGAGGGAGATTTGGGAGGACTGGAAGAACATTAGTGGAAAAGGTGCTCTTTGGCTTCCCTACAACCCAGGTGAGTGTGCCACCTATGTCTGCATTCTTCTTCTGTCGCCCATCTTTAGGCCATCCCGTCCTTGAAGCACCTGAGAGTGTGACAGGGCCCTGGAAAGGGGATGTGAATATTCCCTGCACTTATCGTCCTCTGAAAGGCTACACTCAAGTCTTGGTAAGATGGCTGGTACAACGTGGCTCAGACCCAGTTACCATCTTCCTACGTGACTCCTCTGGAGATCATACCCAGCAAGCAAAGTACCGGGGCCGCCTGCACATTAACCATGAGGTTCTAGGAGATGTGTCCCTCCAACTGAAGACCCTGGAGATGGATGACCGGAGCCACTACACTTGTGAAGTCACTTGGGAGACCCGTGATGGCAACCAAGTGGTGAGAGATGAGATCATTGAACTCCGTGTCCAGAAACGTGAGTCACTGTGGGGATAGGAAAGCACTGATAGGACTATAATCCTAGAAAACCCTGAGAAACCCAGGCACATTTGTGCTAATCAGAGGAAGTGGACAGGTGGAGTATCTTCAGGGTCATCACTTTCATGGCACAATTTTATTTATTATTTATTTATTTATTTATAAATATATCTTTATTGTTTTCATAGAGAGGAAAGGAGAGGGATAGAGAGATAGAAACATCAATGATGAGAGAGTCATTGATCGGCTGTCATGGCACAATTTTAAAAGTGTTGGGAAGGGTCCTTGGCCTTCAAATCTCTACTCCTTCAAGTGTCCTTGAAATTTTAGCATACATAGTCTTGTTGCCCTCCTTTGGCTCTGGGCTGTAAAACTCATAAAAATGAGTAAATATTACCAGGATATTGGAGAGTGAATTGATGCTGACAGAAAAACTCTGGGGAAAGGGATGCAAAATTTAGCCAAGATGACTTTTGTTGACAATTATACAAATATCTGTCCCTATAATCCAAAAACTGAAAATAATCCTCAAACCCTATTTGAGCTTGAAAAAGTGATATTATCATTTTACAGTCCATTTATTTTTAACTCCAGATAATCCCAAACTCAGATAATACAAAACAGTATCTAATTTTATAAAGGAAGCTATTTTTATTTGCATTGTACTCTTTGCTTCTTCCCTCCAAGGTCAGGAGCCCTTTTAGTTCCCTTTGCAGATATGTACATACCCTTATACCAGGAAAAGTTGATTCAGCCTTGTGTTCCCATTCCTTTATAACTTACCAGAGCCTCCTCTCTTGTCTTCCCTTTGCAGTCCCTGCTTCCAAGCCCACAGTGACAACTGGCAGTGGCTATGGCTTCACAGTGCTCCAAGGAATGAGGATTAGCCTTCAATGCCAGGCTCAGGGTTCTCCTCCCATAAGTTATGTTTGGTACAAGGAACAGGCTAACAACCCAGAACCCATCAAAGTAGCAACCTTGAGTATATTACTTTTCAAGCCTGCAGTGGTGGCTGACTCAGGCTCCTATTTCTGTACCGCTAAGGGTCGAATAGGCTCTGAGCAATGCAGTGACATTGTGAAGTTTGTGGTCAAAGGTGAGTAACATTCTCTACTGGTGAGCATCTCCATGGACAACCTGATTCCAGATATACCTCAGTAGAGTGTCTTTATTACAGAGAATAGAGATTGATGTGTGTGTGTATGTGTGTGTGTATTGAGGCTGGAGGGGTACTGAGTTGTAAAATCACAAAGAAATAAAAATTCTGGACTGGGGAAAATAGGGCTGGATATAATGCTTGTCATATTGTAGGTTAAGTAAATAAAGATGATAAAGGGAAAAGTGAAATTTACTAGGTACATAGTTTCTTTTCACTTCCCTCACTTTTTCCTAAAGCCAACTATAAGTTCTAGTTGAGGAGTCAATGAAGATTGACTGGTTAATCATGGTCTAGCTATTTCTTACAGCACTATCCTGGGAGCACTACAAATTGTGTATATAAAGACTGTAGACGAGTTTAAATGAACAGTCCAGCAGTGATGTCTAAATGAGTCTTGCTGCCTTCCAACAGATCTCCTTGGAAGGGAAGACATGTATTCCCACGAGCCTGCTATTTCTCAAAACATTTTGGGAACAAACTGCTTTTAGGGAATTATCCTCAGAACCTCCTGAAAATTACTATCCTCTGAGGATAGTTCTATATAAGGAAAGTCAAACTGGCTGTCACCAATTTTGTTAGAAAAGTGATGTTAGTTTGAAATTCCTGTGCTTGACTGAAGGGATTTTTTCCCCAAGTTAAGTTGTAGTGATAATGTGCATGCTGTAGGTTTTGATCTGTTAGTTTTGGGAAAATAAAGGGCTGTCTCACTCTGAGACATTTATATGAATACTGGCCCAGTTCTCTGAAAGTTTACAATCTGCTCAGAGAGAGCAGGGAATCTCCAGAAAGTCCAAGAATGTGTACTTCATAGAGAAACATGTTGAACATTTTCACCTTTCTGTAAGTTAGTTCCTAGACCATCTGGTCAGGACCTTGTTCACAACAAATCAACCTGTATATTTCCTATCACAATCCATGCTTACAGGCAACAAAGCAATGCTCATGATTGCCCCTAGTGACAGATAAGGAAACTGAGGCTCAGAGAAATTACTCTCAACCTTCCACCTTTTCTGCTCTGAGCCAAGCTTCTCTCTCTTGGATTTTTTTTTACATGCCCCCTTCTCCACTTAAACCTTGACCCATGAGTCTGGTCCCCTGTTTCATATCTACCCTACATAGTTCTCAGCCCCTCATCCCTCTGCCTTACCCGCTGTGCTCTTTCTCAGCTCTGCGATGGCCCTACAGATCATGTCTTTGCTCATGCCTTGGACTGACAAGCTCTATTCGCAAAAAAAGACAGATATGCATTGTTCCATGTTAGTTTTATGCTCTGTGACATCCACTTCTTCTCCCCATGCTGTATGCCAATACCTTTTCTCATCTTTGTCCTATTCCTAATATCAGATATTCATCTTCCCCTTATCTAAGAAGATCAAGAAGCTCCTCAGATGTGAATTCTATCAACCACCTTCTCTACCTTAACATTTCACAGCAAACCCTCTACCTGGGATCTTAACCTCAGCTACTCCAACTCCTTGTTCCACCCATTATCCTCTACCTAAGCTTAATATGTATGTATATATGTATACACACACACGTATATATATAAGCCTAACATATAAGTATAAATAACATATATGAATTTTACATTAAATATTATTTTGTGTTAGTTTTACGTGAACAGCATAGTGGTTAAACAATCATATACTCTACAAAGTGATCCCCCAAATGTTTCAAGTACCCACCTAGCACCATACATTTTTATTATAATATTATTAATTATATTCCCTATGCTGTACTTTACATAACCATGTCAATTTTGTATCTTCCAATTAGTAACTCTTAATCCCTTCATATTTTTTACTGAGACCACCAAACTTCCTCCCCTCTGGCAACCATCAGTCTGTTCTCTGTATCTATAAGTCTGTTTCTATATTATTTGTTCATTTATTTAGTTATTTAAATTCCACATATAAGAAAATCATATGGTATTTGTCTTTCTCTCACTGACTTATTTCACTTAGCATAATACCCACTAGGTCCATCCATGCTGTGACAAATGGTAAGATTTCACTCTTTTTTATGGCCAAGTAATATTCCATTATATATATATATATATATATGTATGTATGTATATGTATATGTATATATGTATATGTATATATATATATATATATCACCACTTTCTTCTTTAAAAAATGTACCTTTATTGTTGAAAGTATTACAGATATCCCCTTTTCCCCCTCATTGGTTTCCTCCACTGAGCATCCACTCCCGCCCCCAAGGTGTTCTTCACACTATTGTCTGTGTCCATGGGTTATGCATATATGCATGTAAGTTCTTTGATTAATCTCTGCCCACCCACTTCCCCACCCTTGCCTTCCCTCTGAGATTCATCAGTCTGTTCCAAACTTCTATGTCTCTGGATCTATTTTGTTCATCAGTTTATTTTGTTTATTAGATTCCACATATGAGTGAGATCATGTGATATTTGTCTTTCTCTGACTGGCTCATTTCACTTAGCATAATACTCTCCATGTCCATCCATGCTTTCCCAAGGCTGTAAGAGACCCTTCTTTTTTGCAGCTTCATAGTATTCCATGGTATAAATGTACCACAAGTTTTTATCCACTTATCTATTGATGGGCACCTGAGCTGTTTCCAAACATAGAGATGCATAAATTCTTTCCGATTGGTGTTTCAGGATTCTTAGGATATATTTCTAGAAGTGGGATCACTGGGTCAAATGGCAGTTCAATTTTTAATTTTTTAAGGAATCTCCATACTGTTTTCCACAGTGGCTTCACCAGTCTGCATTCCCACCAGAAGTGTACTAAGATTCCCCTTTCTCCAAATCCTCTCCAGCACTTGTCATTTGCTGATTTGTTGATGGTAGCCATTCTGACAGGTGTGAGGTGATATCTCATTGTTGTTTTAATTTGCATCTCTCTGATGATAGTGACTTTGAGAATTTTTTCATATGTCTCTTAGCCATCTGTATGTCAACTTTGGAGAAGTGTCTATTGGGCCCTTTGCCCCATTTTTTAATTGGATTGTTTTTCTTTTGTTAAGTAGAGTGAGTTCCTTAAATATTTTGGAAATTAACACCTTATCAGGTGTATCGTTGGCAAATATGTTCTCCCATACAGTGGGCTCATTTTCATTTTGTTGATTATTTATTTTGCTGTGCAGAGGCTATTTATTTTAATGTAGTCTCATTCGTTTATTTTGTCCTCTGTTTACCTTGTCCTAGGAGATGTATCAGCAAACATATTGCTACCAGAGATGTCAGATTTTGCTGCCTACATTTTCTTCTAAAATTTTTATGGTTTCACAACTTACATTTAAGTCTTTTATCCATTATTAGTTTATTCTTGTGTATGGTGCCAGTTGGTAGTCTAGCTTCATTTTTTTGCATGTACCTGTCCAATTTTCCCATTACCATTTATTAAAGAGACTGTCTTTACTCCATTGTATGTTCTTTCCTCCTTTATCAAATATCAATTGAGAATAATGGCTTGGGTCAATTTCTGGGTGCTCTGTTCTGTTCCATTGATCTATATGTCTGTTCTTGTGACAGTACCCAGCTGTTTTGTTTACAGTGGCTTTGTAGTATAACTTGATATCTGGTATTGTGACCTTCCAACTTTGTTCTTTCTCAAGTTGGCTGCAGCTATTTGGGGTGTTTTTTTGTTTTGTTTTGTTTTTTGTTCCATATAAATTTTTTAAATTTTTGTTCTAGATTTGAGAAATATGCTGTTGGTATTTTAATAGGGATTACAATGAATTTATAGATTGCTTTGGGAATATGGACATTTTAATGATGTTAATTCTACCAATCCATGAACATGGTACATTCTTCTAGTCCTTTATATCTTCCTCTATCTCTTTTTTTGACATCCTGGAGTTTTCTGAGTAAAGGTCTTTTACCTCCTTGGTTAAGTTCATTGCTAAATAACTTAATTTTTTGTTGTTGTAGTAAATGGGATTGTTTCTTTAATTTCTATTTCTGAGAGTTCATTGTTGATGTATAAAAATGCCATCCATTTCTGGGTGTTAATTTTGTATCCTGCTACATTGCTGAATTCATTTATTAAATCTAGTAGTTTTTCTGTAGATTCTTTAGGATTTTCTACGTACAATATCATGTCATCTGAAAATAATGACAGTTTTACTTCCTCTTTTCCAATTTGAATGCCTTTTATTGTTTCTTCTTGTATAATTGCTGTGGCTAGGACTTCCAGTACTATGTTGAATAAGACTGGTGAAAGTGGACATCCTTGTCTTGTTCTTGATTTTTTTTTTTTTTAATTCTGTGTCTTCCCCAATGTGTACTTCTTAATCCCTTCACCATTTTCACCCCATCCCCCAACACTCCTCTCCTCTGACAACCATCAGTCTGTTTTCTTTATCTAAGAGTCTATTTCAATTTTGTTTGTCCATTTATTTTATTCTTAGAATTCCACATGTAAGTGAAATCATATGGCATTTGTCTTTCTCTGTCTGACTTATTTCCCTTAGCACAATGCCCTCTAGATCCATCCACAGTGTCACAAATGGTATGAAGTCATTCTTTTTTTTTTAATATGTTTACTTTTTTCTTAAAGTTTCTTTATCTTTATTGTTGAAAATATTACAGATGCCCCCTTTTTATCCCCATTGATCCCCTCCACCCTGCATCCATCCCACTCCTAGGCCTTACCCAGACCAGTGTCTGTGTCCATGAGTTATGCCAATAAGCATATAAGTTCTTTGATTAATCTCTCCCCACCCAATCCCTCCTCCCTACCTTCCCTCTGAGATCCCTCAGTCTGTTCTATGCTTCTATGTCTCTGGGTCCATTTTGTTCATCAGTTTATTTTGTTTATTATATTCCACATATAAGTAAGATCATGCGGTACTTGTCTTTCTCTGACTGCCTTATTTCACTTAGCATAATACTTTCTAGTTCCCTCCATGCTGTCCCAAAGGATAAAAGATTCTTCTTTTTTACAGCT